TCTTTACCTGTCTCTCTTTTTTAAACTCATAGGAATTTTTAAACACAGAAGTAGAGAGAACATTCTCATGAATCCTACGTGCCTGTCACCCACCGTCAACTATAAGCATTTTGCCAGTCTGTCTTCCTCTATTCTCCCCCAACTTTTTTTTCTGTATTATTTTAAAGCAAATCCCAGACATCATGTCATTTCAACTCTAAATATTTAAGTATACATCTCTTAACTCATAAGGGTGTTCACTTTTTCATGTAACCCCTGGGCCATTTTCACACCTAACAAAATTAACAATGATCTCTTAATACTGTCTAACACTGAGTTCATAATCAGATTTCCCCGGTTGTCTCCAGACCGCCTCTGTTCTTGTCTCTCTCCCTCTCAGTTCCACTCTCTGCTTCCACCTCCTTCTTTGCCCAGCACCTCTGACTCTCTGTCTCTCTCTGTCCCCACATCCTCTCAGTGTTCTTTTTTTTTTTTTTTTGTGAGGAGATCAGCCCTGTGCTAACATCTGCCAATCCTCCTCTTTTTTTTGCTGAGGAAGACTGGCCCTGGGCTAACATCCATGCCCATCTTCCTCCACTTTATATGGGACGCCGCCACAGCATGGCTTGCCAAGCAGTGCATCAGTGCGCGCCCGGGATCCGAACCGGCGGACCCCGGGCTGCCACAGCGGAGCGCGCACACTTAACCACTTGCGCCACTGGGCGGGCCCCTATCCTCTCAGTGTTGCTCTCTGATTTGGGGGCTCCCTTCCCACAGCCTCCTCCAGTGCGGGGAGTGAGTGGGTGGAGAGTAGCGTGGCTGTGAGGAAGAGGAGACTCCGTCCTCACAGAGCTCCCAGACCGATGGGCCAGGAGTGTGGGTCCGGACCCCTTGGTGGCAGAGGCTGGAGGGTGGGTGTGACTTGTCAGTAGCACCTTGTCAGGCAGCTCCCTGGAGGAGGCAGGGCCTTGGGTGCCCAGCAGGCCTCTACACCCTCCCGTCTCCCTGCCCCATTTCCAGGAAGATACACGGGCTCAGCGGCAGCGGCTGCAGAAGCACCTGGCTGAGCATCTGCGCCAGACCTGGGGCCGGCCAGGGGCCCCCCCACAAGCTCGAGACCTGGGAGAGCTGCTGCAGGCCTGGGGTGCTGGGGCCAGGACTGGTGTTCCCAAGGGCTCCCGCTTCACGCATTCAGAGAAGTTCACCTTCCATCTGGTGGGTGGGCCTGAGTGGACATGAGGCATGCTGATGGGGCTGAGGCAGGCTCAGAGGGTTGCTTTATGTACAGACACTACACTTTATCCACACAGGTTCCTGTGTTGCCACCGGCGTGCCCTCTCCCCACCCGGGGTGGGTACCCGGAGGGGTCCCCTGGCTTCTCAGGGACTTTAGTGGAGAAAGGGTAGAGGGGTGCTCTTTGTGCAAAACCCCAGCCTTCCCTAGGCAGTTTCCTCTGGACATATCTTCTCTCCTTGGATAGTCACCCAGAGGGACCCTCATCCTTCTCGTGGGCAGCTGGGGCTTCATAGATGGGGCAGGTGGGCAGGAGCTTGTCAGGGTCAGGGAAGTTTCTTTATGAGCAAACACTCTAGTCTGAGGTCGCAGATAGTGCCTTAACCCTCATACACTCACAGTTTGACAGCCATTAGCCATTGAGTGGGCACGGGTCTGGTGCTGGGAGGGCTGGGCTATGAGGGGCAGGGCCTTCCCCGACAGCCATGGTGCTCCCTTCTCACTTCCCCAGGAGCCCGAGGCCCAGGCAGCCCAGGTGTCAGATGTGCCAGCCACCTCCCGGCGGCCTGAACAGGTGAGCAGAGCAGAGGGGGGTGCCCTGGGCCCTTGCCTGTCTACTGAGCCTGACACCCCCAACCCTAACTGGCCTGTGCCTCCCAGGACATGTGGGCAGCTCAAGAGCAGGAGCTGGAGTCCCTTCAGGAGCAGCTGGAGGGAGTGAACCACAACATTGAGGAGGTTGAAGCCAACATGAAGATGCTGGGAATCAGCCTTGTGCAGGTGGGGCATGGGGGTAGGGGAGAGGCTGCTCACCTGGGGTTGGGTCACAAGTCGGGCCTAGAGGGTTTAGAGGGACTTGAGTGGGCTAAGAGGTACTCTGTAGGGGTCTGCAGATGTCAGAAGGGTTCGTGGGGACCACTGGGGACGTGTGGGGCTTTTAAGCGTTCAGGGGACTCGTTGGGGGTAAGAGGGGGATGTAGGGTGTGGGGCTTGGAACTGTAGGGCTTAGAGGCACCCATGGGCATCAGTCGGGCCTTGTGGGTGTCTGTGGGCATCTGTGAGGGCATGATGGGTCTGTATGGGCAGAGGCTTGTGGGGCTTCTCAGGGCTCCTGGGGGTCAATGTGGAGATGGAGGGCTCAGAGGGGCCTGCGGGTGCCCACCACTGCTTATAGGTCTCTGTCGCTATCAGAGGGGGTCGAGGGGCCTATAGGAGCTAGAGGGGTGGGCTGTCATCTGTGGGGGCTTGGGCTAGGCCAGAGCTTTCCAGGCTCAGCGAGGGCTGGGGGCCTGTGGTGTGTGGCCAGACTCCCCCACTGACTGGGAGTGGGGGTCCCGGATGCCAGGTGGAGACTGAGTGTCGGCAGAGTGAGCTCAGCATGGTGGAGCGTGAGCAGGGCCTGCGCCTGAAGAGCCGGGCGGTGGAGCTGCTGCCCGACGGGGCTGCCAACCTCGCCAAGCTGCAGGTGGGGCTGGCGCTGGGGCTGGGCAGGGAGGGTTGGAGTTGGAAGGGCCCAGCCTGTGTGACACGTACCTCCCTACCACCATCCCTAGCTCGTGGTAGAAAGTAGTGCCCAGCGGGTCATCCACTTGGCGGGTCAGTGGGAAAAACACCGAGTCCCGCTCCTTGCTGAGTACCGCCACCTCCGAAAGCTCCAGGATTGCAGAGAGGTAGGTTGTGGGGTCCTGGGCTGTGGGTGGGGCAGGTTCGGTCCCTCCCTAGGTGGTCATCCCTGTGCTCTGCTCACTGTCCTCTACCTGTGGGGTCCTGGCAGCTGGAATCTTCTCGAAGGCTGGCAGAGATCCAGGAGCTGCACCAGAGTGTTCGGGCAGCTGCCGAAGAGGCTCGCAGGAAGGAGGAGATCTATAAGCAGTTGGTAAGGCCCGTGCAGGGGCCTTGGGTGGCTTGGAGCTGGTGGGGTGTGGGTCCTAGGGGAGTGCCTGCTGTGTCCCTGCCTAGGTATCGGAGCTGGAGACCCTGCCCAGAGACGTGTCCCGGCTGGCCTACACCCAGCGCATCCTGGAGATTGTGGGCAACATCCGGAAGCAGAAGGAAGAGATTACTAAGGTGCGCCATTGTGGCTGTGGAGGGTGGGTCATACAGGCAGACATGCCCAAGCGGCAGATGTGTGGAGCGTGGCCACACGGGGACCTTACACCCTCTGAAAGGCAGAGCTATCTGGCCACACCCTGACACAGAACAGTCCCACACGGTCCACTCCAGCCACCCCTGATGCAGTGACACACAGGCCCTGTCTGGATGTATGAAAGCCCTCAGCTGGCTGGCCACCCCGCCCCAGACATGGGCTCATGGCTACCCTGGTCTCTGCCAGATCTTGTCTGACACCAAGGAGCTTCAGAAGGAAATCAACTCCCTGTCTGGGAAGCTGGACCGGACGTTTGCGGTGACTGATGAGCTCGTGTTCAAGGTATGGGGCAGGCCGGGCCAGATGGGAGGTGGGGTGGGGCTGGGCTGCTGCCTGCCCATCTGCTCATGGGCTGGCTTGGGCCTAGGTCCTGCGTGAGTCTTGTGCGTACACTAATGCTCAGCCCTAGCTTTGCACCGTGAAGGATGAAGTCAGGGGAGTGGGGGAGGGTGGCATTGTGGGGACCTGGGGGTTGTGTGTGTATGGGGAGCGGGTCAAGGGCAGCCCACTGATACCTTTGAGGTCCCCTCTCTCTGGTCAGGATGCCAAGAAGGATGATGCTGTTCGGAAGGCCTACAAGTATCTAGCTGCCTTGCATGAGGTGAGGGGAGAAGCGTGCCGAGGGGCTGGCTGGGGACTGGCCGGGTTGGGTGCAAGCCTTCTGCTCCTGCTGTCCCCAGAACTGCAGCCAGCTCATCCAGACCATCGAGGACACAGGCACTATCATGCGGGAGGTTCGTGACCTTGAGGAGCAGGTGAGGCCTGGGGGTAGGAGAGGAAACCAAGGTAGGCCAGGGGACAGCTCCTTGGTTTATGCCGAGAGAGGCTGTGGAACCAGACACAGCCTACAGCTGGAGTCTCAGCCCTGCCCCTTAGTAGCTGTGTGTGTGACCTGCCAGTAGCCTACTCTGAGCCCCAGCTTCCGTCCTGAGGGTCTTCACAGGGCCCTCTGCCTCCCAGGGCCGTTGGCAGAGGCATTAGCTTGAGTATACGGTGGGTAATCCTGCCATGTAGCAAAGGATGCTTTACGTGGATGGATGACACGTGCAAAGGCCTGGTGGTGGGATGGAGCAGGCTGTTGTTGGAGGGGGTGGGAGGAGCACCAGAGGGGCCCTGAGTGGCTGTAATGGAGGGAGGTGGCCAGCAGGAGCTGGGAAAGGGGCCCTGCATGCTGAAGGGGCGTGCTTTACACTGCCTTAGATCGAGACAGAGATGGGCAAGAAGACCCTCAGCAACCTGGAGAAGATCCGCGAGGACTACCGAGCCCTTCGCCAGGAGAACGCTGGCCTCCTGGGGCGGGTCCGTGAGGCCTGAGGAGCCCCCGGCAGAGGTCTCCCCCCAGCTCAGACAGGGATTTGGGATGTTGCGGGCGATGGCCAAGCACTTACCCTAGCCATTCTATTTACTGTCCAGTTTCTTCTGCTGTGGCCTTAAACCAGATTCCTACCCACCTGACCCCAACTCTTATCTGGGGTGATCGTCCAGAGTGTGGGAGCTCGGCTGCAGTTTATTGGGGAGAGCACTGGGGGTTGGGGCCTTGGATCCCAAATAAATGAGGGACTCTGACTGCAGTCTAAGCTGAGCCATGGACGGGGGCACAGGGCTCAGGGTGGGGGCGAGGGGTGGGTGGCAGGTGGGACACAGGTGCGTTTTGGCGAGTCAGTGTGTGTGGCCATGCATGTCCGTCCGGGGCTCAGGAGATGCACTGGGGCACTGTGTGGGTATGCGTATGTGCAAGATCCGCGGGTGAGTTCTAAAGGGCTGTGTGACTGACAGTATGTGTTGGGAGCTGTGTGAGACTGTGCGTGACTGGTATGTGTCTGTGTGGCTTTCTGGGACCTGAGATCCTGAAGGTACTGAGGCTGCTTCTGTGCAGGTGTCTGGGCACGGCCCGTGTGACACTGCACCTGTGGGCCCAGAGGCTGGCTGGGGGTGTGTGCTTTGGGCTATGTGGGTTGACAAGACTATGCTTGGGTGTGATTGTCTGTGTGACTATGCAGATTTGAGGTCATCTGAGTGTACTGAGGCAGGCTCTTTGTGTTTTGGGGTTTGTATTGAGTCCAAGGGACAGGATTGTGACCATCTGTGTGTCTTTTCCACTCCCAAGGTCATCGGTGAGAGTGACTGAGGCAGGCTGTGTGTGTGGTTGGTTGTGAAAGCTCACTTTGGCTGGAAAGCCCATTGCAGGGGGCTGGACCGGGGGTGCAGGGCTGGGGCCCCTCTGAGCAGCCTTGGTGCAGAGCATATGATCCAGGAGGGTGGTCAGCTGGGGAGCAGGGTCCCCGGCAGGCCAGACAGTGCACACCTCACTTCTTGGTCCCTGCGGGCATGTCCAGGGCCTATCACCCCTGCCCCGGCCACTTCCACCCCCCCGTTTTGGCCCCTGTCCGTCCTTCCTTCTTTCCTTGGTTTTGAGGTCAGGGGCCAGGTGTGGGGTTGGAACACCTGCTGGGCCTCTGGCTTCTCTTCTTGCGGAACTCGAACTCATCCACGGTCCACACAGCCCCCTTCTCACTCTCCACCCGCACGAAGCACTTGTGCAGGCTCAGGTTGTGGCGGATGGCGTTCTGTGGAGGGAGGACCAGCCAGCCAGGCCGGGGCGGGGAAGCGGGCAGGCAGTCATCCTCTGAGGTCAGCAGTCCCCACCAAAAACTGACCTCCTGCCCCTACCCAGCATGCCTGCAAGCCCAGCTCCAGGCCCACCCAGCTTGGCCCAGCACCGTGAAGGCCTCTGAGGCCCTCCTAGGTACAGCCACCTACAGAGGAGCTCACCTTCCAGGTGGCAGGGTGGTTTCTGAAGAAGGCAAACATGCGTGTGAACCAGTGATAGATCTCGTTGAGTGTCCGCTGCTTCTCAGGAGCCTCCAAGATGGCCTGGAGGTTAGGGGGTGGGGGGGTAAGGGGGCTGCTCCCCTAAAGTCGGGATGAGAGGGGCAGTATCCCGCCCTGGGCCATCTGACATGGGGTGGAATTGTGGGGGCAGGGGAAGGGAGGGAGGGAGATGGTGTGGGGTCAGAGACAGGGTTAGAAGTGGGGTGAGAGTGGGGCCAGGATAGGGTTAGGTAAAGGACCAGGGCTGAGGTTGGAGTGGGGTCTGGTTAAGGGTTAGGGCTGGAGTTAGGTTACAGGTCTGGGATAGAGCTGGAGTTGGGGGTCTCTGTAGGGATGAGGTTTCAGGGTTTGGAAGGTTAAGGGCCAGGAGTGGGATCAAGTTATAGATTTGGAAGGGGTAGGGGCCAGGCAGAGTTCAAAGTCAGGGAAGGGGTTGGTTAAAGGTCAGGCTAGGGATGGACTAGGGTGAGTTGAGGGTCGAGGGATGAGATGGCATTAGTTCAGGAGTCAGAGATGGGCCTAGTTATCTAGCTACTTTATGTGTCAGGGATGTGGTTAGGTTCAGGGTCAAAAATGAGGTTAGTTGTGGTGAAGTTAAGGTTAGCTGTTTGTGGTCGTTAAGGGGCACGGCGGGGGTTAGGTGTGGAGTGAGGCCAAGGGTCAGGGAATTTGATCTATTTCAATTTAAGATTGGGGTTAAGTCCAAGGTCAGTGGTTATGGCTGCAATGAGGTTCCAGGTCAGGGTGGGCCTTGGTAGGGGAATGTGTGGCATTGTGTAGGAATTAGGTGTGGGCCTAGGATGAAGGTCCGGGCGGGCTCTGGTGAAGGTTCTGGGAAGGCATTAGGGAGATTCAGATGAAGGGGATGGGATGGGGTGAGGTTAAGGGTCAGGTGTTACAAGGAAGGAGTTAGGGATGGGATCCAGCTGGGGGATGTGTTGACATGCTGGGGAAGGAGTTAGGGTAATACTTGAGGTGGGTTTAGGGCCAGGGGCAGAAATCAGGTTCATTTTCGGGCTATTTATAGGTCCAGGAGGGGGTTAAGCATGAAGTTGAGATGGACATCAGGAAAGGGGTGGGTTTAGGGCCAGAATCTGGCTTGCACTGGCCTGGATGGTGGTTTAGGTTTGGGTTCCGGGGCAGGTGGAGGGTAAAGCCAGCATGGGGGATCACATCTGAAGCTATGGGTTTGTTCATGCAGGAGCCTGCCCTGGGGGGGTGGTCAGAGGGGGGCTGGGAGTTTGGGAGGCAGGTCCCCACCCCCTCTTTCTCTTCCTTCTCCGCGGCCTGAGCTGCCCTGCTTACCCAGCGGATGAGGGTGGCATAGGTGAAAGGGGGCCGCATGTTGTGGAACTTGAAGTAGTCCATGTTGTGGAAGAACTCTGTTGGTGGGGGCGGGGGGAGAATCAGGCCCCATCTGGGAACTCCTTGCTCCCTCCCCTCCCCTCCGCTCTACAACATCCTGTCTGCACGCCTGAAATCCCACTGTTAACACCGGTTTCCATGTCACGGGTACTGTTTGCTGAGCACTAGACATAAATTGTATCATTTACTTTTTGCACCTCTCCCACCAAAATGGGGCTTATTCTCCCCAAAGTTTAAAAGAAGTGAAGTAACTTGCACACCAAAGGGATGTAACTGGTTAAGTGGCTGAGCCAGGATGACACTCGAGGGTCCTGATCCCTGTTAAGCCCACAGGCCAGGCCTTGCAGGTAGTAGGGGACTGGTGAGCTCGGGTGAATCACCCTACTTTACCTGCGGGGGAAGGGAGAGTCCCTGGGAATTACTTAGCTAGTTCCCTCCCTTCTGATGACCAAATGGAATAGCCGAAGCCCGGGGTGAATGAACCCCAAACCCCAGGGGAGATAGGGTCAACAGCTGAGACCATAATGGGGGCTTGCAGGCCAGGGAAATCCTGAGAAGAAGCTTTTGCAAGCAGATGCGTTTTCCCAAAGGCTGGGTGGCAGGTGGGGAAGAGCAGTATGGAGCTCCTTTCTGTCCCCCCACCCAGTGCCATTCAGGGGGATTAGGGGCTTGGGGGGACCGTGTAGTGCCTGGACCATCCTTACCCGGGAAGGTGCTGTTTCCATGGCTGCCCCAGAGGTGCCTCCGCACAGCAAACAGGCCATCGGGGGCCTCCTGGGGGCCGGGCCAGGCTGGGACGGTGGTGCCCGGGGTGCCAGTGGCCACGATGCGACAGGAGCCCTTGTCAGATGATGCCTGCGGGAGGAGGGAGAGGCTGGTGACCCAGAGGCTTAAACTTTCCACTGTAATTTTATTTTATTTATTTATTTTTTTTGTGAGGAAGATTGGCCCTGAGCGAACATCTGCCAATCCTCCTCTTTTTTTGCTGAGGAAGACTGGCCCTGGGCTAACATCCATGCCCATCTTCCTCTAGTTTATATGGGACGCCACCACAGCATGGCTTGCCAAGCAGTGTGTCGGTGCGCGCCCGGGATCCAAACTGGTGAACCCCGGGCCGCCGCAGCAGAGCGCACACACTTAACCGCTTGCGCCACCTGGCCGGCCCCTCCACTGTAATTTTAAATAAGTAACTTTTTAAAAGCAGGGGTGCCCTGTTCTCAATTCTAGTCTGATGTGGAACCCCACGAAGCAGCATAAGCCATATTTGTTAGACTGTGGGTGTGGACACTAGCTTGTGTGGCGTACTGATGCTGCGGCCACAAGCTGGGGCTGAACTGGGCTCCTCTACTACCTAACTGTGACCTTGGGAAAGTCACCTAAGCCTCCCTGGCCTTGATTTTCCTCATCTGTGAACTGGGGATGATAGTAATACCTCACTGTGGCATCATGAGGATTAAATAAATTAACACCAGCCAAGTGCTCAGAAATGGTGCCTGGCACCCAGGCCGGCTTCATGGGTGTGTGACCTGTGCAGTTGCACCGGGCCCCACACTTTGTTTAATGCACTGCGGACCTTATCTTGAAATATGAGCCCTGCATTTTCATTTTGCACTGGGCCCTGTGCATTACATAGCAGGTCCTACCAGCAGCACATGGTCTGCATTCAGTGTCTTGGGCTATTTGCTGTTGCTTTGAAAACTCAAGATCACAATGTTTCGAGATCTTAGGGTCAGAGGGTTTGTAGGTGGAGGGGGACAGATTCCCAGGTCTGGGTGTGTTTGGAGCTGGGGACAGGGGCCCAGAGATCCCAGGGCCTGGGTGCCAGGATAGGTCCCCTGCTCCCTGCAGGGCCTCTCCCCTGCCCACCAGTAGTCTGTGCCATCTACAGGCCTGGGGTGGCTCACCGCAGACGGAGCCTTGGTCAGGGCCATCTTCCCGGCCAGGTGGGCCTGCATAGCACCCAGCTTCTCCTTCTCCAGCACCAGCTGTGAGGACGGGCACAAAGTGAGGCCTCAGCCTGGCCTGTCTCTGCCACATTTTTGCCCAGGCTATGGTCTTCCCGGGAGTGCCCTGCCCCCTCCCTCCCTTTATGCCAACCCCCATCCCAGGTGAGCTTGGCCCCTGGCATAGGGTGGACAAGGTTCACCCACCATCTCCCCCAACCATATCACCTGCTGCTCCAGAGACTGCACCACCTCCCTCTGGAGGAGACACTGTGCCCTGCCCTTCTCATCCAGGAGATGGTCCGCCTGGCAGTGCCTGAGTAGGGGGAAGGGTCCAAACATGGTGGGCCTGGCCTCTTGGCTCAGTGTTCCCAGTGGGGAGGGCCTGACTCTGGGAGGTCCCTCCTCAGAGTCTCAGCCTCCCTCCACTCTCTCTACCTCGGTCTCCCTCTTGCACGTGTCATTCCTTCAACACATGCTACTTGGCGTCTGCTGTGCGCCAGGCCTGAGCTCACTGCTTGAGCTTAGCCAGGGTGCTGGAGATGTTGTTAAGGGTGGTGAGCTGAGAGTGGGCCAGGTAGGTGAGTGCAGGAAAGGCATTGCAGTTAAAGGCGATAGCCTGTGCAAAGGCCTGGTGGTGAAGAGGATAGGCTACATTGAGTTGCCACTGATAGCTGGGCATGGTTGGAGAAGTGTGTGTGTGTGTGTGTGTGTGTGTGTGTGTGTGTGTGTGTGTGTGTCTGTGTGTCTCTGTGTGTGTGTGTCTGTGTGTCTCTGTGTGTGTGTGTCTCTGTGTGTGTGTGTGTCATGGGGCAGAGCGGAGGCAGCAATGGCCATTGTGAGGAGTTGGGACTTTGGGGATCAGTAGAATCAGGCTGGTGTGTTGGCATGAGGGGTAGCAGGGCAAAGCAGTTAGGAGTGTGGATTCTAGAGCCTGGTTGCCTGGGTTCAAGTCCCAGCTCTGTCACTTAGGACTGGGTGATCTTGATCAAGACACTTAACCTCTTTGGCCTCAGTTTCTTTGTCTGTAAAATGGAGGTAAATAATAGTACACCTCTAAGATTATTATGCCCCATTATACAGATGAGGAAACCGAGGCTCAGAGAAGCTAAGTAACTTGCCCAAGTTCTCACAGCCAGTGAGTGATAGAGCAGGGATTTGAACCCGCAGTCTCAGCTTTTGCCTCTTTCATCTTACTACCTATCAGAATGAGGTCTGCATGGAGACCTGCACCCCAGATCTCCCACAAACTGGGGACTCCCCTGGACTTAAATGGGCTTGGGCCACTCACTTGAGGAAGTCCTCTGGCTCCTCGAAGACCTTCTCGCATCCAGGCCACTTGCAGACACCATTTGCCAGCAATGAGTAGGAGCCCTGGGGCGTGGTCGAAAGGGTGCTGGGGGGACAGAGGGTGTCAGGGGAGGGGATGGCAGGGCAAGGGTCCTTCCCAGCCCTGCCCGCTGACCTGTCTTTCCTGGATGCACTGGGGCTTGGGAAGGTGCAGAGCAGTGTGGGTTCCCTGGACACCCACTCCAGGCTGGCCATGTTGATCCCTGCAGATGGGGACAGGGCACCTCTGGGGTCTGCGGGCCGGGCTCTGGAGCTCAGTCCACAAGGCCTCTCATTTTTAGCTTCCCACCCCGCTGAGCCTCACAGGCCCTGACTCCCAGGGGGCTCTGTTGTCCCTAACGTCCAAGGTTTCTGGTGGAGCAGCTCAAAGACTGCCATTTGTTAGTGCTGACATTTCGACTAACTTTGCAAAGATCTGCAGTTCTGTGATGTTGACATTCTGCATCTTTAAGGCTCTGAGCCTGACATTTTTTGGAGGTTGGAGTTTCCAAGATGATAAGACCTGACGCCTCTGACCTCCTGAGGGCCGCGATTCAGCAGCCTACACTGCTCACGTTCAAGGACTTGGGGCTTTGGGGTTCTGTGGAGCTGCGGGGTGTCGTGTTACCAGGTGGCAGGCCGGGCCGGGCCTTGAGGGAGAAGACCCCAGTGGCAGCAGTGGGCGGTGGGAGGCTGATCATAGCTGGGCTGTCCAGTGGGCGCACCTGCAGCACGGGGGTCCGGGCATGGGCATCCACCGTTGAGAGCTGGGGGCACATAGGGGCCATGGTTCAGCCTGCCTCCCCCCCCCGCCCCCATTCTCCCACCTGCTCCATCCTCCCTGCCTGTTCAGGGTCAGTACCTGGTGCATGAAGTGTGGCCTGTCCTGGAGGAGTGCCTGCAGGTGGGGTGAGGGACCCAGCCGTGCTCCGGAGGGTGCCACCATGACTAGGGGCACTGTGGGCAGCTGCGGGGAGAAGGCAGGCAGGTGAGATGCCATCCTCATCCTCACCGTTCTACATGTTTAATTCATTCACTCCTCATCACAACCCCACGTGGTAGGTACTGTGACCATCCTCATTTTACATATGTGGAAACTGAGGCTCAGGGAGATTGAGTGATTTTTTCCAAGAGTAAACAGCTAATATGTGGCAGACCTGGCCTCAACCCTGTCACCTCACCTCCTTGGGCCCCACTCCTCTCCTCCATCACATGGGGATGGGGACACATGGCCATGCCTGTGGGACCATGAAAGGGTCTACTCTTCTGAGACGGATTGGGAGGTCGAGGAGAGCCTCGAATCTTTGAGACCTGCTAAGTGGGGACTTTCTTGGCCCTGCGACATCTGCATAAGTCACAGACTTGCCTGGGACCCAGAAAACCACTTCCTGTGCCCCAGCTGGGCCCCCCGCCCGGTGCCACAGTAAAGGTCGGCACCTGTAGGCCCAGGTACCCCACCCTGTCTGCCCCATCCTGAGCCCTTGGCCTCACCTGCAGCTGTGATGGTGGCATGGGGTTCAAGGAAGAGGAGGAGGCATGGGCCCCACCTCGGAGGTCCCGACCCTGGAAGGCTGCCCCTGGCCCCTTGGCCCCGAGCAGGTCTGAGGCCTTCGGTGCAGCTCTCCAGCTGGGCGAAGTTCCTGGTGTTGGGCCAAGTGCCAAGGAAGGGGCCGAGGGCTTGGCTGGCCTGGGGTTGGGCATTGGGTCCTTGTCTGAGGGCAGGCTGTGGGGACATAGGGGGAAGGAGTTACACATGTACTGGGGGTGGTGGGGGGGTGCGAAATACTCAACCACTTGAACCACTCGGATGCCCCCTCTGGTCAGAGCAGGCATTGGCTGGGGCATGTCCCAAAGAGCCCCACAGCTGGACCCCCAGCTCTAGTCATGTATGTGTGCACACACACATTGGTGTCAGCAACACAGGTATGCATGTGTCTCCATGCATGCCCCATGTGCACATGTGCACGGGTCCAGCACATAGCTTGCCTCCGCATGTGGGTACAGCCCTGGTGGGGATGAGTCCTCCACGAGGGCAGTGGGGAATTCAGTGCGGTTTGCAGGGCCTCAGCCGGAGCGGGTCTCAGCTCTTCCCCCCACCCACTTGAGGCTTGTCTCCAAGCCTCAGCACTCCGGTCCTCCCTGTACCCTGCATAGGCCACACAACCTTTGCTGATTCCGCTGGGGCTGGTCTCTGCCTCTCCTGGCAGCATTATTTTCCCTCAGTGACTTGGGCATATCTGGGAGTGGAGGGGGGCATGGACTCAAAAGTTCCCTCCGGCTGCTGTGAGTGGGACAGACTCTAGGAGGGTGAGGGCAGAAGCAGGGGGACTAGTGAGGACCCTACTGTAACAGTTCAGGCAAGCGATGATGGTGGCACAGGCCAGGATGGTGGCAGTGGAGATGGTGAGAAGTAGGTAGATTCTGAGTGTGTTTTGAAGGTGGAGTCAGGAAAATTTGCTGGCACCTTGGATGTGGGGGGTGAGAGAGGGAGGATCAAGGTGACTTCTGGGTATTAACCTGAGCAGCTGGAAGGACAGAGCTGACATGACCTGAGATGGGGGAGACGGGGGGAGTAGAGTTGGGTGTGATGATCCAGGTGTGGATGGACACGAAGAGTCTGATGTTAAACATGCGAGTGGAAATGCTAAGTGGGCAGCTGAGTACAGGAGTCTGAAGCTCAGACAGGGGCAGGGTCTGATCATTTCTGGGCTCCTGCCCTGCACAGAGCTGGCATGGCAGGTGCCAGAGAGGAAGAGAGACAGGCTCTTGAGCCAGGGCCTGTGGGAGCTCCTCGACTCAGCCCCCACCAGAGTTCACCCCAATCTCTGCTCCCCAAGCCTGACTCCAAGCCTTTGCTCATGCTATTTGCCCTACCTGGAATGCCTGCTCTTCTTCCTCTTCCCCTATCCAGAAAGCCCTACATAATGGCTCCAGGCCCCTCTGCCGAGCTCTAGAACCTTACACTCCCCAATCGGCAGGGCTTCGGTTGCTCAGAATCCTGTAATCCCAGCCTGAGGGGAAGCTAGAGCTGGAAGGGACTGCTTAGTCCAATCTCCATTTTACTGAAGGGAAACCCAGGTGCACAGTCCCATGGTGACTTGAGAGCTCCACTTCTTTCTCCAGAAAGTGTGCGTGTGTGCACATTTCACAAGCCACCTGCTGTGGGGCTGTGTGTGTGTGTGTGTGTGTGTGTGTGTGTGTGTGTGTAACTCCCCACCCCACCCCACCCCACAGCACTGGGTTGGACACACGGCTGCTGATAGCAGCCCCGGGGAGTACAAGGAGGGTTCTAGGGGAGCAATGCTCCTTCCTTTCTTTGCTGGCAGCTGATGGGGGTTGTCAGAGCTGTCCTGCTGAGGGAGGAGAGTGTGAGAATCCAGGTATTAAACCCTCAGTCTCTCGGGGGTAGCCCAGGTCTATGGAGGCTCAGAATAAGGGCCTGAGAGAATGTCGATGACCATGAGGAGGTGAGTGAATGAATGAAGGCGGAGATAGGGATGATGTTTCTATAAGCCAGGGAACGCCAAAGATTGCCAGCAAACCATCAGAAGCTAGGAGAGAGGCACGAACAGATCCTCTCTCACAGCACTAGAAGAAACCAACCCTGCCGACACCTTGATGTAGGGCTTCTGGCCTCCAGAATTGTGAGACAAGAAATTTCTGCTGTTTAAACCCCTCAGTTTGTGGTACTTTGTTACAGAAGCCTGAGTAAAGTGAGACCGATTTTGGTGAGTGAGTGGATGTTTTCCACCACTCTGGCCTGGCCCACACGTCTGGCCTGTGGTCACTTCTGAAGCTGCCTGGACACTTGGCGAGAGCTTATAAGAAATCTCCTCAAACACATCTGGAACAGCCTGACTCAGGAAAGCATAGATACATTCTCAGAAAGGGGACGTGGATATGGTCTGTCTGGTGGTGGGGTACCTGGAGGGCCGGGCTGGGCAGCTGGCTTCCTGCACTGTCTGTTGGGGCGTCCCTTTCTGACTGTTTCTCAGAAGCTGCATGGAGGATGTTTCTGGGACACAGATTGTGTTTGCCTATCGGGGTCTGCATCTGGGCCCTGTTGTCACAGCCGCCGACTTCCCCAGATTTTTCCGCCATTGACGTCATGGCGGCCGGAAGCGCTGGGCTTTATCGGCACCAAGGAGGAAGAGAAGGAGGCAGACGCCTCACCCCACAGGTTTCGTTCCGAGAATTGGCTGGCCCGTCCTGCAGCCGGCTTGGCCCAGGTGGGGTGATGTGGGTGCTGGCGGATGTGGTGAGTGACGTCCATCTGGCCACCATGACTAGACCTGGCCCTTCTTGGGCCATGGAGAGGCCCAAGGTTTGATGCTTGGGGAATGCCATGCAGACCCCACAGATACTGGGACCCTCAGGGTCTTCAAATCGTACTACGCCAGAACCTCAGAATCATAGAACATTATTTCTTAAATTCAAAGGATCCCAGAATCTCAAACTCACAGACTCTGTGGGGTCCGTGGGTCCAACTTCTCAGTATGTGAAGGCCAATGTCCCTGGTGTCCAAACTCACTGGAACTCCCTGAAGGACAGGAAGCGCACTACTCATAGTGCCTCTCGCCTACCAGGCCTGGAATTGCAGCAAGCCTGCCCTCAGCCTCCCTCCTAAGTTCTGCGAAGGCGGGAGGGTCAGAACCCCCCCTACTTTTCCCAGCCTGGGGCCAGGCTCTGCCACTCACTAGCTGCAACTCTCTTCAGGCTCATATGTACGTTGGGACAGTAACGGTACCCATCTTCCAAAGTTAATGCACACGAAACACTTAAGAAAATGCCAGTGATCGGCAAATGGACACCTGCAGGGCCTCGGTATCTCTGTCCATTCTGGGACGAGGATCTCAAACCCACAGCCACTCTGCCAGAGATGAGGAGGGAGGCAGGGGGAGGTAGAGGCCAGTGTGCCTTTAGCTGGGGCCTCATGGCGGGGAGCAGGACAAGCCCCAGCTTTTGCCAGTAGAGAGCCCAGCACCAGGCTCTCTGGAGGGGCCCTGGGATAGAGGTTTCCAGGGACCAGTGCCAGCTCTGGGGACACAGCTGAGCTCTGTCCACAGCCAGACCCACAGACAGACTGACTTATGTCCCTCCAGTGTCACCACCCTCTGGCCATGAGGCCTGCTAACCCATGGGGCCCTGGGACCCCACCCAGCCTAGCTCTTGTGAGGCTGAGCCCTACACTGTGACTGTGGACCCTCCTGCCTGAGTGAGGGTCCAACCTGTGAGAAGGCAGAAGTGGGGATGGCAGCAGCAGCTGCGGGGCAGCCCAGGTCCCCCTGTCCCCCTCATGGGTGCGGAGGGGTAAACTGAGGCCCACAATGGGGAGAGAGACAGAGCCAGGGTCCCACCGAGAGTCCTAAGATCTGAGCTTGGGTCTCAACTCCACCACTGCAACTCTGTGAGGCCTTGGGAGAGGCCCTCCCAGCCACCTCTGGGCCCAAATTGCCCTTCTGTACACTGGAGAGGGGAGAGGTGTGGACTAGATGAGGGCCAGGGCCCTTTGGCTCTGTGTCTGGGTGAGTTGTTAGGTGTCTGCAGGGCTTCAAGTTGACAACTGCCCCTCTATCCAGGGGACTGGCTGAGAGACAGGGATATATAGAGACAAAGACAGACAGAGAGAGAGACAGACATAGGGGAACAGAGAGACACAGAGAACAAGAGATACAGAGAGGGATGGGAGAGACATGAGGTGGGACAGAGATGGACACACACAGAGTGACAAAGAGAATGAGAGATATAGAGATGCTGAGAGAGAGAGACAGTGATGGGGGTGGGGTGGGGGGTGGGGGAGGGGAGAGGAACCCATAGGAGCAGAAAGTCATAGAAGTACACACAAAGAGGGAGAAAGAGATGAGAGAAACGAGAAAGAACAAAAGAGACAGAAACAACAGCACAGGTTGAGAGAGAGAGAGAGAGAGAGAGAGAGATGCCCCAAATAAGAACAGTTGTGGGTCTCTGGCTGGAAGAACCGATGCTGCTTGAAATAACGAGGAATAACAAAGGGCAGGATGCCCGGGGCCTCTGGTGGGTATTGTATTGTATTGCAAAGCAACAATCAGCAAAGCAGTGTGGCCCTGGTACAAGAACAGACACTGAGGAACAGAGCAGAATAGAAAGCTCGGTCGAGTTTGTGATGAATGTGGCATTTCAATCCGGGGGACGGGGGAAGATAGATTGTTTAACAAATGTTTCTGGGATAATTAAGGGAAAAATAAAGTTATTGAATGAATAATCAGTCCATTTTCCCACCAACCCCTCCCTGCCCAGTTTGAAATGTCACCATCATCACATACCCTAAAATAAATTCCAGATCCATTAAAGAGATAAATAATAATATCTAATATTGATCTTGGGTTTATTATATGTCAGGCCCTATGCTAAGCGCTTAACATGGTTAATAGATTTAATCCTTACAACCACCCTTTTAAGTAGGTACTATTATAACCATCATAGTACATACGAGGAAATGGAGGTACAGAGAGGTTAAAAGCCTGGCTAAAAATCACACAGATGGCTTGGGGTGAGGCTGGGTTTGTCCCAGACAGTCTGGCTCCAGTACCCACACTCTTAACCTCTACAGTAAATGGAAAAAATGAAGCCATAAAAGAGATTAGAAGCCAACATGGGTGAACATTTATCTCATTTTCAAGTGGGAAAAGACTTTCTAAGCACAAAACCAGAGACAGTAACCACAGAAGAAAAGAAAAACCTATTTGAGTATATAAAAACATCATAAGCATCCCAAAACACCATAAACAAATAGAAAAAGCAAATAAAGAATTGGGGGAAAATGTCTGCTATTATATGTATGGCTGATGGAAGGTTAATATCCTTTTAAATAAAGAGCTGTGACAAATCAATAAGAAAAAAAGATGAACACCCTATTAGGACTAAGCATGTGATCAGACAACTAAAAAAAAAGCACAAATGGTCAATAAACAATATAAGTAATCAAAGAATGCAAATTTCCACAATGTGGTAATATTTTTTCTTACCTGTTGAAAAAGGATTAAAAAATGGTAATACCCACCCAGGGTTAGCTTGAGTAGAGGGAGCATAAAACAGGACAACCTTTTGGAAGAACAATTTGCAGAGAGGGTCAGAAACCTTAAAAATGCACATACCCTTTGCCCCATCAACTCCATTTTCAGGAATCCAAGGAACTAATTAGGGATGATTATGGGGAAAAACTAGAAACAACCCGAATGTCCAATAATTGGCACTTGGTTCGAACCAATCATGGTTCATGCCAATGTGAGGACAGTCTTGACATCCATGAAAGATCATATGTTGAAACAATTTTTACTGATCTACATAAATGCTCCTACTAATTGAATAAAGCAGAAACAAAACCAATAGATAGCATTATCGGTTAAAAAAATACTAACAGCACTTAGTGAGCACTTACTAAGCCTGCAGAGACAAGCTCACCCTAGTCCTGAATGGCCTGCTCTGTTCCTGGACATGGACCCTGGCCACACACACACACACACACACACACACACACACACACACGAGGTCTTGTGGGTATAACCACACAGCTAAACCACGATTGACAATGGCATGAAGTGCCCCCAGAAGGGTCTCCTCTCATGTGGTGCAAGCACAAGTTCAGTTAAGTGCTCAGCCTGACCCAACGGCTCACAATCCTCCTTCAATTGGAGCAAACAGAATTGATGCTCATTCTTGTAAAATGTAAATGTCCTCATCGACGTTACTCAACACACTATTATTAAGCTCCAACTGTGTGTAAAGCTCTGTGCTGGATGCTGGGTGAGAAGGCAGGAGGGGAAGGTGAGACAAGAGAGCAGAAGAGACCGTGGGAGAAAGAGGGGGAAAGGAGACAGACAGAGTGTGGTCAAGATGGAGGAGAAAGAGAGAGGGAAGAGGGTCAGAGCCAGAGAAAGACAGAGGGATGGAGAGTCTGAGTGCCAGGGAAACAGGGAAAGAGAGGGGCAGAGAAACACGGAAAGAGTGAGACAGGGCGAACAGAGGCAGAGAGGAATGGGAGATATT